ATGTAGACCATTTAACTCTCGGAGAGGGCGTGTACAACAATATCCACGGCAACTACATCGTCCACAATACTTTCTATGGGAGAAAGCGCAATCGTAATCATGAAGAGATCGACGGTCGGGTTTCACTCGTTCTGCAGGAAAACAACCATGCTGACCTTTTCTCTATACAGATGAACCAGGCTCGTTGTCGATCATGGAACCCACACCTAAACGCTGTCGTCGGGAAGAGAACTCGCAGGACGGAATTAAGGTCTGTAAAGCCTACCAGCTCTCGAAACGATGGGGCTTGATTTTTTCAACAGGTAGTCCGAAGGAAACACCTCAAACTCACTCTTGAAATCGGGAGCGGCCCCGGATACTTCCTCCACGCTGGCGAAACCAAGGGCCGGGCAGTTATAGTCAAAGTCTTCAATGCAGGTCCGACTGTTCGAGAGGTACGCACAAGGATTGGAGCCTTTACCGTTCAAGGCTGAGACGGACCGAAGCAATTGGAAGCGACAGTGGCTCTGTCGAAAGGACTTATGTGAGTGCGCAATTAGATGAATCTCAACAGCCAAGTAACCTGTTGTAGGCATCCAAATGTGCTGCGCATCGAAGGGGTTTCGTCGCCTGCATCCTCAACTCATTTTATTGCGTACGAGAACGGTAGGCTATTCCAAACAACTTTAGACGACCCAAAACTCAAGATACATATTCTTGTAGCCTATTGGAAGACTGCGGAAGGCCCGCTCGCGGCGGCTCTTAAGGAGGATCTCACGAGGAGTATAACTCTAGGGTTCAAAATGGTTCGTCAGTACGGCCTACAGATTTACAAAGATTCACGCAGCCTCGCAGATCGCAGGACTTTCTGTGAGCCTCGTGTACTCCTTCTGCTCGTCTATTCAACTTGCTCTGCAACCTTCAGTCAGGCATGAACCATCTCAGTGTTCAGGGAGTATCACTGGCCTCTCTGAGAGTCGAGGTGCGCATACATATTCTATCTCTGCCTGATTATATTTGGCTGACTGCGCCTGGCAGAACTTTGACATTTTCCTCGATGTCAGCGACCGGTTCTTGATTAGCATTAACCCATGCATGCCGGCAGATGCGGGTTATTCCAACGACCGAGAGTCGGAAGATAATGCTAACAGGTCTTGGGACGTCTTTAATACGCTTTGTCAAAAGGTACCTGTTATCTCTCGTACCTAAGATTCCGATTAAATGCTTGGTCATTCAGGTGTTGAGGTCCGCCAATCGCATGTTGCACAGTAAGTTAATATTGTTCATCGCGCCTTTTTTTTAACCTCTATCCCGCAGATAAAGATATTAAAAGGAATCCTATCACCCTGGATCTAATGCGCCGCTCGACGGACCCTCAAAGATCCTTGGACCCGCCTTCGATGCAGTCTTTTGAATCTTCTTCATCACACGATCGCTCAGAGGGCAAGCCCCCTATCCCACCGAGGCGTGAATATGTCTGGCGAAATATTGATCGCGGACAACAGTCGTTAGCCACCGTCGCCAGTCAAATTGCCCTGGACCTCGACATCAAGCTAACCTCCGTCAATAAATTGACGTGGACAGATGGCCGGAGTCCCCACCGCTGCGCTGGATACGTACGAGAAGAAATTACGCTTGCGACAACGATTGGCGATAGTGCGGTTGTATCCCATGATGCTCCGAGCCCACTGGAGATTTGCTCCGTCTGCCACGAGGTCGTGGGCGTCCACGAGCAGTTTCAGTGCATATGCAACGACCTGGGTATGTCTGTTTGAATTAATGGAGGCGTAACACTTCACTTAACTACCATAGAGCCCGGCTCAAGGCCGACGGTCAAGTGCAAGGAATGCAGGATGTGGAGCCACAGCGAATGTGTCGGTAAATCAAAGGAGTTTACCTGCCAATTCTGCATTATTGGGGACCAGCTCGAGATGCAGCCCCTCTTCACAACCCCGCAGCGACTTTCTGAGCCCTTTGACGAGGAGGATGACGAGGAGCCGCTACCCCCAAACGCCACCGACCAGGAAATTCTCGATTATAAACGACGACAGAACACCCTGGCTGCGCGTCGCAGCCGCAGGCGGAAGTTACTGTACCAGCAGCAGCTGGAGGAGACCGTGGAACGGCTGACGCGGGAGAAGGAGATCTGGAAGCTGCGAGCCCTGGATCTCTCGCAGCAGCGACCTCAGCCGGACGAACCAATGCGTCAGGAAGAGCATGCGCCCGAGTGGTTGTTGGAGCACCATGCTGCTCCTTCTTTCCCGGCGCCCAAACGGAAACCCGATCCATCAAGGTTGTCCGGCCCCCGCCCGGTAGACTCTGAAAACCCGGAAGAGACTTTCCCTTTCCGCTCGCCGACACTTCCGCCCCTCATCTTCAATCAGCCTTCTCGGTGCCTGGACATAGATTCGGCCCCGCCGTCCCCCTCTCCGTCGCCGACCTTCGCGCACAACCTCCCCGCGCAGTCATTTGCCTCCTCGTTCCTGAATCTCCCGCCCCCGTTTACTCTCCAGCCCCAGCCGCAGTGGAACACAGACAGCCCGCACTCCACACCCGACAGCGCATACTCGTTCCCACCATTATCGTTCAGACCGATGCCCGTCCCCAAGGAGTTCTCGCCTGACGACGACCGCGACATGTCGCATCTCATCCCCGCGCAGCCCACGCGCGCCGGGCGCTACGATCCTACACGCGGCATCTTTGTGCCGTACTCCCCAGGCCCCGACTCCTCGGCAGGCCCCCCCGCTGCCTAATCGCGGTGCACTTAATTCGGTGTGACGCCTTGCACAACCCTTGCCACATGTGTGTACTGGTGGACTCCGGGAATTTTTACCTGGGAGGGGAGAACTCTATGGGGATAGCCACCCTTACAGTACTACACGTACATGTATGCTTTGCGTAGCCTCATTGTTCATGGGACCTGACAAGTATAATACAACCCCCCCTCCCCGACCCCTTCTCTCTCTTATGGTTGAACGAACAGATCTCAAAGTGGTTCTACACATGGTTAAATCTAGCTCATCTTGCAGAGGAAGAATACACAGAATGAGCGTGCAGACCAGAGACAAAAGGCAAGAGAGTAAAACACGGCTCGTGGCTTGCATTCCTGATCGAACATCCCGATCTCAATGGCCGCCGTTGTGCACCATGAACCACACCGGATATCTACCTCTAATACAGGGCTGAATATACCCACTAGAGGTAAATAATCCTCACGGGCTTCATCTGTTGGAGAGGCTGTCAACGAGAGACTCGATCAATTCCTGGCTGACTCACCGCGCAAAGTCACCCCCGCGGCAGTGTCTAGATTAAATGCAGACAATCCTTTGGATCTGCGGTGCGCACAGGAGGGAGAAAAAGGAGTTAACCAAAAAAAAAAACGACGCTCTTACTAAACAAGTGGGGTGCGGGGAGTCGAACCCCGGCCTGCGACGCATAACATTCTATCGCGAATCTTTGAATGGATGCCGCCGTGCACCGTGCACCACACCCGATTCCTTGCTCTCATTCAGCGCTGAATATCCCATCGGCTTTCCCTGGGTTGTGATCCCCCGCATGCGCACTGAGCCCACGCGACCCCTTCTTAGCCGACCGAACGGATCCGGAGTCTGTCTACATATTCGTCTGAGTAAATTTGGCCGGACCGGTGGAAAAAGATTTGAAAAGGGCGCACGGAGCTTCGTAAGGAGGAGGGGGAGAAGGAATTATGAAACCAAAAAAAACATCTTGAACAATGCCAGTCGGGTGCGGGGAGTCGAACCCCGGACTGCGGCTTGCATCTAGGGAGGAACTGCATTGATATGGAACGCTGCTGTGCACCGTGCACCACGCCCGATTCCTAGCTGTGGTGCAGGGCTGAATACATCCTTGCAATTTTATCTGGGTTGTATTCACTCAGAAGGGAGGGATGAATTATCAGCTGTTACCAAAGAATCTCGGGCTGATGGCAACCTGATAAAAATGGGCCTAGCTAGCGCACGAAAAATAAGCCGGACCTGAGAATAAGGAGCGCGCAAGGAGGAAGTAACTGACAATTGAAAGAAAAAATCTTTGCACGATGCGCAAGATCGGGTGCGGGGAGTCGAACCCCGGTCTGCGGCTTAGAACTAACTGCAAAGCCATGGCACTGGAAGCCGCCGTGCACCGTGCACCACACCCGATTCCTAGCTCTAATCTAGAGCTGAATATATCTGATGGTTGGCTCTGGGTTGCGTTCACTTGGATGAATGCGTGGTGAAGCCACCAGCTGTCCAAGTGAATTTCTATACGTTCAGCGTAGATTCATTCGCCCGTGCAGAATAAGCATGAGCCTCCAGAGACAAACGAGAGGAGTGACAGAAAAAAAGGTGCGAGTATCTCAACAATTCGGGCGCGGGGAGTCGAACCCCGAACTGCGGCTAATATTGGCTGGTTCTGGAGGAAGAGCAGCTGCCGTGCACCGTGCACCACACCCGATTCCTACCTTCAGCTCGGAGTTGAGTATATGCCAATAGAATTCTCTGGGCTCAGTTCACCCACACTCATACTCAGGCCATAGAATAAATGCTTAGTTGACCCAACGGATCCGGAGTCTGTCTACATAAGTATCCGTCTGAGTAAATTTGGCCGGACCTGTGGGGGAAAAAAAAAACAAACAGGGGCACAAGGAGCATCGTAGACGGAGAAGGAATTATGAAGCCAAAAAAAATGCGGAACACGGGAGTCGGGTGCGGGGAGTCGAACCCCGGACTGCGGCTACTTAGCTTACATTGAAAGCTCTGAATAGAAGCCGCCGTGCACCGTGCACCACGCCCGATTCCTAGCTCTGGTGCGGGGCTGAACATCCCACCAGCTTTCCCTGGGTTGTGATGCCGCACTGAGCCTACGCGACCCCTTCTTAGCTGACCCCACGGATCCGGAGTCTGTCTACATCTCCGGTCGTTTGGCGGAACTTGTGTAGAAAAATTCAACAGGGGCGCAAGGAGCATCGTAGGCGGAGGGGGAGAAGGAATTATTAACCCAAAAAGAATTGGAACACGGGAGTCGGGTGCGGGGAGTCGAACCCCGGACTGCGGCTACTTAGCTTACATTGAAAGCTCTGAATAGAAGCCGCCGTGCACCGTGCACCACACCCGATTCCTAGCTCTAAGTTAGAGCTGAATATCCCAGCTGTTTTCTCCGGGTTGCGTTCCCGTATTGGGGAGGGCTGAATTCCCAGCTGCTTCAACAAATCTCGTGGTGCTTATATAAGCTCACAATAAATGCAGGCCAGCCTGTGGAGGAAGATCAAACTACGAGCACAGAATACGGAGTGCGCAGGAGCAACTGATAATTAGAAGAAAAAATCTCTGAGCATCCGCACTAAGATCGGGTGCGGGGAGTCGAGCCCCGGACTGCGGCTACTTAGCTTACATTGAAAGCTATAAAATTATTATAAATAGAAGCCGCTGTGCACCGTGCACCACACCCGATTCTTAGCTCTAATGTGGGTTGAATATCCCTTATGATTTCGTCGAGGTGAACTGAGCAGGGAGGAACTCCCACTTGGTTCGACAAATCTAGCGGGGCTGAAGCTGCTCTGAGTACTTAAATGGGCTCGGGTCCTGGGAGGTAAGATTCACATAGAACGTACGGAGCATATCAGGAGGGTGAGTGGAAAGGTGTAAACCAGAAGGAAAAAAAAGAAAAACGGAATACCGGAAGAGGAGGTCGGGTGCGGGGAGTCGAACCCCGGCGTACGGTATACACCATCTTGACATCACTAAATGGAACCGTCGTGCACCATACACCACACCCGATGCCTAACTCTCATTCAGCGCTGAATATCCTACCGGGTTGTGATCCCCGCACTGCGGGCAAGGAACCAACTCTTAGTTGACCGAACGGATCTGGAGTCTGTCTACATATCCAATCGGCACATGGAGCATCGTAGAAGGAGGAAAAGGAATTATTTAACCAAAAAAAATGGAACACGACTGGTTAGTCGGATGGGGGGAGTCGAACCCCGGCCTGCGGGTTAGAACTAGATGCAAAGCCATGGCACTGGAAGCCGCCGTGCACCGTGCACCACACCCGATTCCTAGCTTGAATTTAGAGCTGGATATCCCAGCTGTTTTCTCCGGGTTGCGTTCCCGTATTGGGGAGGGCTGAATTCCCAGCTGCTTCAACAAATCTCGTGGTGCTTATATAGGTTCATTATAAATGCAGGCCAGCCTGCGGAGAAAGATCGAACTACGAGCATAGAATACGGAGCGCGTAAGGAGCAACTGATAATTAGAAGAAAAAATCTCTGAGCATCCGCACTAAGATCGGGTGCGGGGAGCCGAGCCCGGACTGCGGCTACTTAGCTTACATTGAAAGCTATAAATAGAAGCCGCTGTGCACCGTGCACCACGCCCGATTATTATCTCCAATGCAGGGCTGGATATGCGCGATATTTTTCTTGAGATGAGTCCACCTCTTGCGGAAGAAGAATAGTATACCCTGCCCTACCTACTTGAATCAAATTCTCGAAGTAAATTTTGCGTCATCCGTCCATGCCTAGAAGCAGCCGAAAAGACTGGCCCGCAAGAATGAGTGCAGATGTAGGAGAGAGAGGCTTGAACAAGGGGAAAAAGAATGAGGGATCCAGATTAGTCGGGTGCAGGGAGTCGAACCCCGGCGTACGGTATGTATCATCTTGACATCACTAAATGGAACCGTCGTGCACCGTGCACCACACCCGATTACTAGCTCTAAGTTAGAGCAGGATATCCCACCGGCCTTCCCTGGGTTGTGATTCCCCGCACTGCGGGCAAGGAACCCCTTCTCAGTTGACCGAACGGATCCGAAGTCTGTCTACATACATAAGTATCCGTCTGAGTATATTGGGCCGAACCTGTGGGGGAAAAAAATCAAACAGGGGCACAAGGAGTTTCGTAAGGAGGAGGGGAGAAGGAATTATTAACCCCCCCAAAAAAATGGAACACGACTGGTTAGTCGGGTGCGGGGAGTCGAACCCCGACCTGCAGTCCGCTTAATGCGTAATATCTTTACCCAAGGAAGACTGCCGTGCACCGTGCACCACACCCGATTCCTAGCTCTCATTCAGCGTAGAATATCCCACCGGCTTTCCCTGGGTTGTGATCCCCCGCATGCGCACTGAGCCCACGCGAGCCCTTCTTAGCCGACCCCACGGGTCCGGAGTCTGTCAACATACATAAGTATCCGTCTGAGTGAATTTGACCGAACCTGTGGAGAAATTTTCAACAGGGGCGCACGGAGCTTCGTAGAAGGAATTATGAAACCAAAAAAAAACATTTCGAACGATCTTAGTCGGGTGCGGGGAGTCGAACCCCGGTCTGCGGCTTAGAACTAGACGCAAAGCCACGGCACTGGAAGCCGCCGTGCACCGTGCACCACGCCCGCTTCCTAGCTCTGATGCGGGGCTGAATATATCCGTACAGTTTTAACTGGGTCGAGTACACGCATTGCGCAAGGATGAATTATCAGCTGTTGCAAAAGAATCTCGGGCTGGCGGCAGCCTGATAAAAATGGGCCCAGCGAGCGCCAGAAAAATAGGCCGGAGCCTAGAATGCGGAGCGCGCAAGGAGGAAGTTGATGACAATTGAAAGAAAAAATCTTTTTGCAAGATGCGCAAGATCGGGTGCGGGGAGTCGAACCCCGGTCTGCGGTTTACTATCGGTACCTTGTATTAGAAGCCGCCGTGCACTGTGCACCACGCCCGATGCCCAGCTCTACTTCAAAGGTGAATATACCTAGTCTCCTCCCTCTTCCGTCCGACGCGTCCCAAGTTAAGCGACGCCCGATGCGAGATCAGGTGACCGCGCCGCCACGCACGCGATATGTACGCGTGTTTCGCCCGCACGGCGTCGACCTCATGGGCCCCGCGTGGTCGCCTCGCCTTGCCGTCCGCTGCCCCAAAATCGCCTCCCCCCCTCCTCCCTCCGTCCATGTTCCTATCCCCATCTCCATCCAAAACCCCGTCCCCCAGTGCGCCATTCCCGTCCCCTTCTTATTCTGTCTGTCTTGCTAACGAAGGCGCGCAGGCCCGCGCCGCTGAAGATACTCTCCGCTCGATTCGATTCTAGGTTCTAATAACGACCGAGAGCGATTTGGAATTGGGGATGCCGCTGCTCCCGTTCCTCCCTCTGGGCCTCTCGCCGTCGTCCTCCCTCGGCTTCGGCTGGCCGTCGCTCGCGCTGCTCCTCCCGCTGTTCGCCCTGTTCGCCCTCGTCGGCTACGTGTACCTCCCGCCCGCCGCCCTCCGCTCCCGCCCTGCCACCCTTCCCTTCCCAGCTCGCCTCTTCCCCGCCCTTCCCTTTCCATTCCGCGCATTCCCCTGCCTCCCGTCCCTCCGTCCATGTTCCCATCCCAATCCCACCGCGCCAATCCCCAGTCCCCGTACTATACTCTGTCCGTCGTAGCTAACTAACGAACGCGCGTCGCGCAGGCCCGCGCCGCTAACGATCCCCTGCGATATCCGCTCAATTCCAGTGCTAGGAAGTTCTAGTAATAGCGACCCGTCTTGATATCCGTCGCGCCCCCGCTGAGTCCCGGGCCCTTCCTCCGTTTTGGCTGGCCGTTGATCGCGCTCCTCCCGCTGCTGCGCACTGTCCTTTCCCTCTTGCCGGTTTCTCTTCACGATCCACATATTTATGCTGAGGACTCAGGAGCGCAACTTGCAAAGCTTTCCTTGAATGATTCGGGAGCCGGACCGGCCTCCAGCGCTTGAACTTGGGCGTCTACGGCTTCAACAGCTTAGCACAGCCTATGTGATAGTAGCACAGCCTACGTGGTAGCATACCACCTATCAGCTACAGCCTGCCACCTACCACGAGCCCTGTCTCCCCGACCCCCCCCCCATGATGTCCTTCGCCTCCAATGTACGCCATTTAACTCTCGGAGAGGGCGCGTACAACAATATCCACGGCAACTATATCGTCCACAACACTTTCTGTGAGCAAAGGCGCCCTCACGAAGAGATCGGCGGTCTGCTCTCGCTCGAGCTGGATGAGCATAGTCCTGCTGACCTTTCCTCTGCTCAGATGGACCAGGCTCATTGTCGCTCTTGGAACCCACATCTAAGCGTTGTCGTCGGGAGGAGGTCTCGGAGGACGGAATTAAGGTGCGTAAAGCCTACCGACTCTTGAAGCGGTGGGGCTTGATCTCAGCCCAGGTAATCCACAACAAAGATCTCAAACTCACTCTTGAAATCGGGAGCGGTCCCGGGTACTTCCTTCACGCTGGCGAAACCAAGGGTCGGGCTGTGATTGTCAAGGTCTTCAATCCAGGTCCGACGGTTCGAAAGGTATTCGATTGAAATCCTTTCTTTTCTCTTTCTCATACGACTCGAAGCATCTGGAATCTACGGTGACTCTGTCGAAAGGATTTATGTGGGAACTATTCCCAATCCTGCCTGCCCGACTGATGTGTGTTTGTAGGCATCCAAACGTGCTTCGGATTGAAGGGGTCTCGTCGCCGGCGTCCTTGACTCAATTCATTGCTTATGAAAACGGTTCGCGATTCCATACACCTTCAGACGGCTTATAACTGAAGACATGTATCCTTAGCCTTCTGGAAGACTGCTGAAGGCCCGCTCGCGGTTGCGCTCAAGGACGATCTTACGAGGAGCATAACCCTGGGGTTCAAAATGGTTTGTGATTGTAATATCTGTGATTTGTCTCTGCTCAGGCAACCTCGCAGATTGCAGACTATCCGTAGGCCCCATATATTCTCGCTGTTCATTATTTAATGCTTCCCGTCGACTTCAAGGCAGGCATGAACCATCTCATCATTCACGGGGTGCCGCTGGCCTCTCTCGGAGTAGAGGTACGTATGTTCCATTTCTTCTCGATCACAACTGCCTGACCCCGCCAGAACTTCGACATTTTTCTCGACGTCGACGACCGGTTCTTGATTAGTATCAATCCACGCATACCGGCAGAGGCTGGTACCACAAACGGTGAACAGCCAGAGAATAATACCAACAGGTCTTGGGATGTTTTCAATGCAATTTGCCAAAAGGTACCTATTAATCCTCCGGCTTTCGATTTTGGTTAAGAATCCTTTGGTCGGGCAGGTTTTGAGGTCCGCCAATCGACTATTGCACGGTAAGTTTTTCTTGCTCCAATCGCTTCTTTTTTCTCTCACATCTCCGCCTGCAGACGAGGACATCGATAGGAACCCAGCCTCCATGGAGCCAACCCGGCATCCTTCCGTCCTTCAACAAATCTCGGCTTTACCACCACTGCAGTCTTCTGAACCCTCGTCCTCAGAAAATCTCTTCGAGGGAGAAGCTCCTGTCCCGCCGCGACGCGAGTACGTCTGGCGAACGATAGATCGTGGACAACAGTCTTTAGCCACCATTGGCAATCAAATTGCCCGTGAGCTTGACTTGAAGTTATCGTCTGTCAACAAATTTGCATGGACAGATGATCGAAGTCCGCATCGTTGTGCTGGATACGTCCGGGAAGAAATCACGCTTGCGACCACGATAGCGGACAGCGCAGTAGTGTCCTATGATGCACCGAGCCCGCTGGAAATTTGCTCCGTGTGCCGCGAGATTGTCGGCGTTCAGGAGGAGTTTCGGTGTATATGTGGTGACACAAGTATGCACGATTTACTTGATGTGCGCCGACCCAGTATTAATTTGATTGTCGCAGATCCCGGCTCGCGTCCCACGGGCAAATGCCAGGAATGCAAGATTTGGAGCCACAGCGACTGTGTCGGGAATTCGAAGGAGTTTATTTGCCAATTCTGTAGTATCGGCCAGGCCACCTCACGTCGGACCGTTGGT